ATATGATTAGAAATAGTTTCAAACGAGGAAAACGTTGAATTAATTGAATAAGACGAAGTTGTGTTGAATGCCATGTTACTTCTTCATGTAAAGTTGAAGCAAGAGAATGACACGCATTCAATAATGGATGATGTTGTTGATTCAAATCAAGATCTTTTATTGCCATTTGAGCATAATAAGTAGTTAATTCATTAAATGGTTCGATCGATTCAATTAAATCTTGATTACTAATAGAATTAAGTTGATTATTAAGAATAATTTTGGGTGATGGAAGTAAATGTGATATATCTTTTATTGTTGGTGAATCAGTCCATACTCTTTTCATACAATAATCTTTTATAATTGTATCTAAATATGGTTTATGATCAGTATTAGGTAAATCAGTTGTTAGATTTCATTTATCATAAATTATTTGTTCCATTGACCATCGACCAGAATGTGCACCTTGAACTTATTGAATAACAGCACCTTCAAATGTAAATATTGGTTCTTCGATTTTATTCTCCATTGGAAATATCCATAGGTCAAGACTATATATTTCTTCTTGGTCTATACCACATATATTATCATGATACTATCCACGTACTTCAACATTTGTTGATCGATTCATCTTTGCTTTTGTTTTACTTGAATAAATAGATTTTGGAATACGTATTGGAAGAAATGTTGTTTCAATACCTGGTAATAGAACTAGATATGGATGAAGTAAATAATAAGATGAACAATTATTATTATCATTTGATAATTGAGATATAATTGTAGTTGAAGTACCACGTTATGTTTTTATTTTTTTTTGAAAACTAGATCCATATTGATAACCGCATGTTGAAAGATATGCATAAGCACTTCGTATATCTTGTATGGTCCATCTATCAGGTATTATTAAATGATTTTTGTTGTTTAGAATCTATTTCAATTTTGCCTGGTGCATGTAAAGTAAATTCATTTAATGACTATTTATTAAAATTATCTTAATTACGAAATATAATATACCATGTACACATTGGCATAATTATTTGTATAAATACTTCCATCAATTCATGTTCATTAAGAATAAGTGCTTTATTAAAGTTTACGTCTTCAAAAATAAGTGTTAGTTGTTGTTGATCATCTTCTTTTGGGGGAAGTAATTGTTGACAAGCAGTTGTTGCGAGTTCAAGATAAGCAATAGCTGGGAAAAGAATTGCATCTTGAATTTTATGATCTTTTAAAAAGGCATGTTGTGATGAATCAATACTAATAAGACTTTTCCATGTTGCACTTGTTTGTTCATTTAATTGACGAATACCAAATAATGGGTGAGTAGATATACGATTAGCTAGACGTTGTATAGATAAATCTTTTGATTCATACCAACATGAACTCAAATGAAATTTATATAATGGAAAGTTATCAAAATATTCTTCATGATTTTTCACAGGTAAAATTTGATGAGTATGAAAATATTGTTGCCATACATGAGATGATGTTGTAAGTTGTGCTAAACTAGTAAGTAATGTTATTTGTTCATTTTCTTTTTGTTTTAATGTTGGAAGAATAAGTGGTAATGATTGTTGTTGTTGCTTTGTTAATTCATAACATTCACGAATAGATGTAGCTAAAACTGGATGTGGTGAAATTTCAAGAAAAACATTTGCTGTTTCATCTTTTATAATTGCTGCTATAGCATCATAAAATCTCACCGCTTGTCTCACATTTGACCACCAATATTGACCATTAACTGGTATATTATCATTCATTTGCTCACCAATAACACTTGAATAAGGTTTTGCTTTTGCACATATCGGATCAAAAATTTGTTTTTGATCTTGTACTGGAAGTCTTCGAATATCTTTCAAGGATGAAATCATTTCTTTTTCAGTATCAAATCGATTCATTTGATATGAATGACATGCATTTTCAATACGAAGACGTGCTTTAAATACATTAGGATAAGATATGGTAAGAATTTGTTGTATTTCATCAATAGTTTTTTCGTCACCACTTATTGTTACTCGACGAGTACTATTAACAACAACAATACAAGCCAAATGTTCAATACCTTTCAGAAGTTTATTTTCTACTTCTTCTTCACTCATTCAAACAGCTAACATACGAATAGTTTCTTCTACATTTAAACAACCAGCAACAAAAGCAGCTGCTTGATCACCAGCACTTTGTGATATAATTGATGATGGATATATATTCCATGAAATAAGTGAAACTGTTAATGCAACTTGTATAGCAAATAATGTTGGTTGAGCAATATTTGTATCATTAATACGAGATTCTTGTTCATTTTTCTTTTCAATTAATTCTTCCAATAATCTCCATTCACCATTGTTAATTTTTGTCATTTCCGCATCAGTTAAATGAATCTATTTATTAAATAAAGGTTCATTTTCATATGATTGTCTATCCATAGACCACCATGGTAGACCTTGTCCACTAAAAACAAAACATATTTTCTGTGCTAATGATTTTGTTGGACGTGATGATTGTGAGATCTGGTAATGCTTTTTTAGTAAGAAAAGCATTAATTTGTTCTTGTAATTGTTGACGATTGAGAAAAACAAAGATTGCTGAATGTGTATAACTAATAGTTCTTTTGAGAAGAAGTTGTTGAGATATATGTTGAAGAAAAGCCTGATCATCATTATAATCTATATCATTAATTGATCGTTAAGATATTGACGACTTTTTGCTGAATAAGAGAAATAAATTATTTAATGAATGAAAAGAAAAAAGAACTTACTTGAAAAAATAAAATAAAATATTGTTTGTTTTCAATATGATTTCCATCATCGATATGACCATTTTGAATTGATGTTTTATTTATTGGTTGATATTCTTCAA